TTTTTACGACCTTCATCCAGACCATAAATGGTATTTACGAGTTACCGTCTCGCCGCACGATCACAGAACGTCTACAAACGCATGCCGCGCAGAGAAGAACGGAGGTGAAAGATGAAATTATAGAATGCGCCTTATTCTATAGTCTCACTACCGATATCTGGACATCACGTACAACTGAAAGTTTCCTTGCGCTAACTATTCATTTTGTGACTACAGCTTTTAAATTGATGTCTTTCACTCTAGAGGTTGTCAGTTTTCCTGGAAAACATTCTGGTACGCGAATTGCGAGCTTAATTCGCAGCCTGATGGAAAAGTGGGGTCTTGATAGTTTACGTCTGACAAAAATTATACGTGACAATGGCGCAAATATTGTAAAGGCATGTAATGACTTGGAAGTTGATCATTTCGGTTGTGTGGCTCACTCTCTGCACCTTGTTGTGTCTGGAGCTCTCTCAAAATCGCGGGAAGAAGTTGAGGCAGCTCAAACAGACGAGCAGATGAGTTTTGGTGATCTAGCAGAGCCCGATGAAACTGATGAACAATGGGTGGAAGATCCGGAGGCTGAGCTGGAAGCTATTGGTGAGTTAGAAGACGAATTGGGTCTTATATCGCTGGAAGTTACTTCTTCTGTTGAGTCTGTTGCTGAGTCAGTGGATCTAGAAACCGACGATTGCATGGATGAAGGTCTTCTAGATGGGTGTCTAAGTGCAAGTGCAGCAGTCGGGCTGATGGACGCAATGAAGAAGGCGATGAGTGAAACACGAAAGCATGTTGCTAGCTTCCGCAAGATTGTTACCTTTTTCAACAAGAGCGCAAAAGGAAAAGCCAAGCTAAAAGAACTTCAAAAGGTTCCTCTGCCACTTACTGTTATCGCGGACGTGGCAACGCGTTGGAACAGTACCCACCAAATGATTGAGCGGCTTCTCTTTCTTCGCCCGATACTTCAAGAATTTATGGAGTACATACAAACGTCGGTTGGAAAAGACGAGTTTAGTGATGTCAAGATCGCAAGACCAACGGGTGAAATGTGGTTCCACATTCAGTGTTTAGACAAGCTGCTCGTTAGCTTTCACGGCATGACCCCTTGTTGTCAGGTGAAAAATATACCACCATGCCGTTGATACGGCCTTCCCTGGCAGTGCTGCTGACACGCTTGGGAAACAAGAAGATATTCTCGAAGGTTTCTGCTGCTCATGTCGGTGAGCTGTACTATGGTGCCACGCTAAAGCGAATGCATCTGGTGCGTCGCTTTTTCATGCTTCTCCTTCGCAAGCGCTTCGGTAATTTGCCCGACGACGTGAATTCGTGCTGTCTGCTGGACTCTCAATTCGCTCATGGTTCCTTCCTCAGCGTTACCGAGAGAGAAGAGGCTGAGAGGTTTTTGGTCAATGAAGCACTGCGTCTCGCCGGTGCCAATGTCATCGACGCAAACCTCAATTCAAGTGTAGAAATGAGCAGCGACGATGATGACTTCATGAGCGAACTCCTCGGCTTAAACCGCAAACCGACGCCGCCAGAACCAGAATCCCCCTTGGAATTGTCACTACGTGAACAAGTCAAAACGGAGCTCAACCTTTACTTTGAGAAATGTAAACTCCGTGAGAAGACGAAGCTGATAAGAGCTCGCGAAAGCCCGAAGCTCAAGAATCAAAACAAACTTGAGAACC